TAGCCTTTATTTTGAAAGCAGAGAGCAGCAAGATAACAGGAAATGAGGGTAGAGCGGGGGGATAACATGCAGTGAAGTCCCCAGAGAGATGCTAACCTGGGAGGCTTAAATAACATGTTCAGCATCTGAACCAGGACATCTCCTCTTTTATTTTATTTTGTAATGCTATTATATTATTATACTGATTCTGACCTGGTTAAAATATACATATGATGAGAATTTTTAAAGTTGGTGATCGCATTGTGAAAATTATCATTATTTGAATTGGTTGCAAGTTATTTACTGTAAACTAAATATATGTTGTATCTGAATCCCAGGAAAGGAAAAACAGAAGTAAAAGAAGCAGAGACAGACAGAAGAAGAGACTTTCCAAAGGTCTAAAATAATGTACATACTGTAAACACAGTCTGTCTGACCAAAGGTCACCTGGAAAGAGTGTGTTTTCGAAAACTATCAGCAGAGACCCATGTGTGCAAACACTGTACACACATGATGTTAAAAGTCCCTAGAGACCCGCTGCTGTACACCACTGTTGTTATCATTTGCAGTGGACAGACGCTTAAAACTACATCAAAGTTACAGATGGTATTCACTGTGTTTCACTGTATGTAATTGTGTGAAAAAAAAATCAAATGTATCTCTGTGAATTTGCGTGCACGTAGACGCGGATGTGTGAACAGAGTGAGACAGACAGAGGAGCAGAAGGTAACCTTTATAAATGACACACAAACAGCAAGACAGTGCATCAGCGTAAAGGTGGCTTTTCTAATCCCCCCCCCCCTCCTGTTGCCTGGCTCTCTTTTCTACTGTATCTCCACATTACATCCCAGGCAGAGGGACACGTTGAGCTCGGCTGTTTATCTGGCTACTGTTCAGTCGTTCTGATTGACGTCCGCCTGTCTCCCTTTGCCAGTTCAAGGCAGAAATATTGAAGAATACTTCATTAAAAAGGAAAACAACTGTAAAAGAGATATAGTGGTAGTCGGAGAAGTGTTTTAACCCTTTGGTCTAAGCTGCTCTCATCAATATTTGTATATAAATAATAGATCAAATTACTACGTGTGTTGCTTGTAGTGAGAATTATCACTCTGCTCTGAAGTTCCTCTCAGCTAAATTAAGTATTTAGTCTCTTTCCACTCAACTTTTGGGTTTCTTGTTAAGCATAACCTTTCTTGTGAAAATTGTTCACGGCTCCTACTATCTGCTGAGCACCAAACAGCAGACAGAGACTCTAAGAAAGTGAACACCATGCAGCATTAAACAGCTAAAAAGCAACATATAACCATCGCTTTAAAGTTGGTGGAGGGCTACAGCGTGTGTTAAATGTACTGTTACTTTGACCAGCTACTACACAGAATGCTGCATACAGAATAATGTGTTGGAAATAATCTTACTTTATAATGTAATATTGTCAGGGAAAAATGTGTCTTCTATTCAAACACCTTGCATACACTCAAATCAATTCTGTAGCAGTACGAACATCTGTTATAAAACATCTGCAAAGTTACAAAGTTTGAATGCGTCTAGATAAGCTTAGCAAACCACAATCCGACCCAGTGAAGTCTACAACGTTTGCATCAACTTTTTATAATGTCCTTGGTTTAAAAAAAACACAGGATTCCAATATCAACACAAACAAATGTAAATGAATAACCTGCAACAAATGTATTTTAAAAAGTTGTATCAATCTGTTTCACACTTCTAATTTGCCCAAATCAGATGCAACCATATTGCAATGAAATGTGCAATATGGCACAGTTCTTGCTTAATTGCTCACTCTACCTTTCGGTGCTGCAGGTTGGGGGAGAATTTTGCAAGTAGACACCAGGAATATCAATTCATAATGTACTTGACACAGTTTTGTTGAACAACACATTATTTAGTTATAATTCTCTTAATGTTAATGATCTGATCTGAGGCCAGGCTGTAGCCTATACGCAGTGTTCCCACTGAATATGCATCTCTGTCTACACAGAGGATAAACATGTTATTTAATCATCAATGTGTTTTCAGTCATCATTGCTTAAGTAGGATGAACAAAACCCAGGTGGCGAACACATATCACGAGAGAGACAGGCTGAATGCATATCATTCAGCACTTAAATGTTACGTGCTAACTGTGTAGTAGGGCAACTTAAGGTGAACAGCAATCTGTGTCAAAAGTGAAACTGGATGCTGGCCTTATTTTGCATCTTCATGTGGAAAGTCTTCGTTCTTTTTCTATCACACTTGGATTTTTTAAAATTAAATAACACATCAATCATGCATTCATATTTAAAAATAGGAAATATATCTATCTATCTATGATGATACAGTTCTTCCCCAATATATTTCCTCGCGGATCTGGACTCAGTTGTATTTGCCTTTATTTGAAATGTTGTAAATGTTCACACTGACAGTCACACTGATTCTGTCTGTAATTAAATCTCTAGGTGAATAAATAAAAAATATTGCAAGTTGGTTGTGTAACTCTTCCATTTTACATATATTTGACTGCTTTCAGTACAACCTTATCTCTCTGTGAACCTTAAATTGCAGCATGAGTGACAAAAAGTATTGACAAGAGGGGTGGGGGGGGGCCGCTGATGATGTATGTGTGTTGATCTTACTCCAGCCATCTATTATGTAACAGTCCAACACAGATTAGGGGCAAAAGAGATTACAGTAAAACAGAAATATTTAAAATGTCAGTGATAAAGCTGCTATAATCAAAATGTGTCGAGTAACAATTGATCTAATGGATCTGTATGTGAGAAGTTTGCTTGTAGGGATGAACCGTAGAGATTTACTAACAGTTATGCACCTCTACAAAGCATTTAAAGGGGCTTTTCACTCATCTTTCGCAGCATGCAACATTACTGTTTGCTTCATTCTACTTTGGCGTTTAAAGCTAGCAGGCAGCTGTTTCCAGCAACAAGCTCCGTTAACCCACAGTGAAGAGCGAATGCTTAACTTGCATTCATGCATCATTGCTTATGTTGTTCCGTATTAGCTGGATTTGTAAAGTTTGAGAGTAAATTTTTTCATGGTCTGTATCCTGATATGTTGTGGGATTGACTTGTTCGAGGCAATACTAAACATTGTAAAATTGTGAGAAACCAGAGGGGATTGGTAATCCCACTTCTGGGATGGATACATGATCACTTTAGTAGTGAATATTCCACATGAATAACTGCTTAATTGGAACCAAAAGCTGCCGAGGGAGGATGATGGTGACGGACTACTTCTCTGATTAAAACCATGTCTGTAATTACTACACACGATGGGGACTGGGTCTTCTGCTGAGTTGACAAGTGTTTTGTTTCAGAGTTAACATGCTCCAATTCACCTGTCCCCACGAGGCGCAGCATGCACCTCTCTGCTTTGCCTTTGGCCTTCGCAGCTAGTGGAGTTGTCTGCTATGTCTCTAAACTGGAGTGGAAGCATGCTCCTAATCATAGCAATCACTCATCCAAAAGGACCCCCACCCTTAAAATACAGCTATATTTAGCTTCCATGTATATACAATGTTTTCAGGCTAGTGTGATTATCATTGATTTGGCAAAAACAACAGTGCCTGAATGCTCAGTGGGACTCAATGGAGCTGCCTTGAATTTTTACAAATGATGGAGGCAATTATTACTGATTTCATATCAGCCGTGTTCTGCTGTCAGTCTGCAAAGTCTTATGACTGTCACTGAGGAAAAATCTTTGATGCAGAGCTAAATTAGATTTGCTCATGATGTGTTTGACTGGCATCCATTATGTGCAATGGACAAATGGGAGCTGCATGAATGGGGGTGGGAAACATTGGTTATATCTCCATTCTGCTGCTTTTTCTGAAAGCAGGTCCCCATTCATGGGTGATTAACAGGCAGATCAGGGAGGTGGGCAGTGTTGCTCGGATGGCTTTGACTAATCTAACTGCTGCTGCCTCGCTTGGGTAATGGCTACAGGCTGGATTGGAAAACCCAGACAAGCAATAAAGAGAAACATTCAAACTACTGTATCCACTCTCAAAGCCGAAGTCCTACATGCACACTGTTATGCAGCCACATGAAACACTACAGAAAGTGACTCGACTGACTGACAACTGCAGAGATTAAACTGATTGTTGGATGTTGCTGGAGCACCACCAAAGTCTAAACTCACATCAATGTCATGACATATTGGTAGAAACATGTAAATAACAGCTTGTTCCAAATGATAGGTTGTTGGCGGCATCGAAGATCAACACAGACACATTATAGTGCAACAAAGGACACTATCAGTGATCTCATCTAATCTTATTACTGTACTGAAATTATTTGTTGTTTTTTTTGTTAATTATTTTTCTAGTTTAATTTTTTTTTTTATATAGAGGAACAACTACAGTTTTGCGGGAAAATGGTTTCAATTAAATTAAATGTGTGGAATAAAGATTTGCATCATAGTTTGAAGGATTGAGTTAAGTGACATCTTGACCATCCAATAGACTTTTTCAAAAGCAGTAGAAATATTGCTCCACCTAGTGGAGGCAGCCGTCAGAGTCACAGGGCAACATCCTGACTTGATTTCCAAAAGTAAAATGGCCTATATATATATATAATATTTACAGGGTTTTTATAGGATCCAGGATCCATTTCAACAGTAAAAGTGAGACTGGGATGGCTCTTTCTCTATCTGCTCTTATCTAAATTGTCAGTGCGCGTTCATGTGTATGTTTGTGCACGAGCTCCATATGGCTAACCTTTTCAGATGTGGCACTGGAAAAGATGAGGAAAATAAATAAAAAAAACAGGATAAAGTAGAGTGAGGGAAGAGGACTTATTATTTTAAACCTTCAAAAAATGTGTAACAAACTTGTAAGTACTGTTTAATTTGATTGAAAAAGACTGCTTTTGGAGTTTATTTCCAAACACCACTGCGCTGAGAACGGTGCCCTATTTCCAGGCGGCTCTGTCTACCTGCGCTGAGCCCCTCCCCTCTCCTCTCTCCTCGCTGCCTCCCCTCCTCCTCAGAGTTTGTGTTGCACTCGTTGCAGTAGGAGGGTCCATGTGCCTGTGAATGACGTCGCTGACTTCAAGTCCGAACCGACTCCCTCGTTTGTTTGTATTACTCTTTTTATTTTGGGGCCCAGAATCGGTAATCTGTAAATGTGCGGGCATAATGTGAGCTCATCTGCCGCTGTCGTCCGACCCGTGGCCGCCGTTCGTCCTGTCAGGAGCAGCGGCTTGCTGTGGAGGATTACTAGTGATAATACGCAGTAGACTTCTCCAGTGCGCCTAGCTGTCAAACTGAAAACTATGTATTGGAAAGAGTAGAAACAAGACATTAGTTCATATTTATTTGGTTTTCGTATCTTTTTTTTTGTCCTCTGGATTATCGCTGCCCAGCAACACGGCCACCTGACAACTCTGAATGTCGTAATTAAGGTAAGGAAGGACGGAGCGCAGTGTTTGAATGTACATTTTCATTTGGCGCGGGGTGTGAGATGATACTGAAAGCAAAGTCCTCACTGTTCAATCGGGAAAAAAGCTGAGTTCTTACGCCCGATTCATTTGCTACGGGAGAGAAATCTAACAACTTTACACCGGGGCCGTAATCTCAGTGTCTGCTCCATAATAAAAGTCACCAAGAAGTTTATTGCACTTTATGTAGCCTACAAACGAAATGTGCCACAATCATTTTATTCATAGATTTTCGTTTCTGCAAGCACCTGTCAAGTGGTGCTCAGAAATATGTAGTGTGTCAAATTGTTTCCAAAAATAAGACTTTAGTAATAATAGTGTCTTCCTTGTGCACTTTGTCTATCTTGTCATTCAAATGAGACGACTTTAATAACTTCGCCAGCAACAATAAAGAAAAAAATCGTCTTTTAGAATTACTTCTGCGCATACGCAAAATGGAGAGATATGCAGAGTTGCATGTCCTACAGAGGCAAGGCAATCACGGCTGGAGCAAGAGGGAGGCATTATCAGTCTGACATCTTTTTCTTTTTCTGTTTTATATTTTTAGTTGCGCACTTATTGTGCTTGGGATTTTTTGCAGGCAACCTGAATAACTTTAACTCCGATGTCTTTGCTGCTCCGCAGCTGTGAGTCTTTCAAAGAGTGAAGCGTAGCACTAACAAATGCATTTTAACATGACTCAAAGCAATGTATTTTCATTGCAACCTGTTATAACCTGGTATGCCTGGCTATCGGCAGTATTTTTATTTCTTTTGCACATGACGAAGCTGCTCCAGGCGCTAAAGCAACATTTTAAGTTATGTCGCAGCTATGTTGTGACTGCAAGAAGAGCAATAACTATTGAGTGACAGCTTTGCGACCAATCAACGAAAGGGCCAGATAAAGCTGGTGGATTTCTGACTAAGCTGTCCAATAGAAGCGCAGCAGAGGTGGGAATTCAAAAAGCCCAGACGACGTCACGTAGATACATTAACCCTTGAAATGCAGTTTTCTTCAAGTTAGGAGATTGTACATCCCCTGTATTGCAGTGATAAGGAGCTTTTTCTGTGAGTGAGGAAACACAGGACAAACTTGCATTGAACTGCTTCAGATTTACACAGTATTATATATGTTTTTGTTTTGTTGTTCTTTAAAAGGAAGTCATTATAATATCAACATTAAGTCAATCCTTTTTATTTTGTATTTGTAGATAACATAAATAATCTTTCAGCCTTTTTCTTCATTTTCACATGCTTTTTTGCGTCATTGTGTTTTTATCTACTGAAGCAGAACCTACTGCTATTCAAAACGACAAATACTCTATTTACACAGTACAATTATATTCTTAACATTATACGTTATATTCAAATGAGGCATGTTGTTCTCTCCTTGAAGGTAAATATGTTTAAAAAACATGTCATACATATTTTATTTTCAGACCAATGCATTGTACGCAGCTTGAAAAAACAGCATTGGGAACTATTGTCATTAATTTCTCTACTTCTTTCCGCTTACCAGGTGAATCAATGAGTCAGCAATGGAGACCAAAAGATACCAAAGTTTCTTTGATGGGAGCGACACAGAGAATCGATGGCCGCAGGTCCCCAGCACCATGGAGCACTGCTGCAGCACAGAGGATTCAAGTCTGACTAGCAGTGATATCCTGATGGACATAGTCAATGTGAGCTGCCCTGCTGGAAGCCCGGCCACTGACTGCAAAGACAACAATACCAAGAAGCCGGAGCAGCCAATGCTTCGGCTTAGCCAGAACCAGCCATTTGTTCTCCCTCACTTCAACAACACCCTCCATGGTCATAAGCAGGAAATGGACTCTAAGGAGCTTTCCAAGACTGTGGCTGAGTCTATGGGACTGTATATGAATGCTGCCAGGGAGGCAGACTTTGCTTTTAGCCAGCATGGTGGCAGTACCAGCCCTGGAAAGATGTATCCAGGGTGTGGGCGGGCTCTAGAGGAGACCCAGTGTGGTTCCACAAAGAGCCCCAAGTTAAAGCACTTTGGTTTCCAGCAACCCAGCACCACTCCCAGAGAATGCGCGACTGGGACTCCAGTTAGCTCAGCATCAATGCTAGCTTCGTCTCTGTCCTGCAGCCCCCAGACTTCCAGCTCCATCTCTAGTCCCGGGGGTAGCAACAATATGGTGTCATCAACCACCAGTCCTCCTACGTGTTTTGGACCGGTGTGCTCGTCCGTCAGTAGTCCTGTCAGCCAGACGTCTTGTGCTGCAACTCTGGCCAACATCAAGCGCAGGAACTCAGCCACATGTAGCCCCGTGGAGTCCAGCACAGTGGGCTCGCCTCCTCTCACCAGCCCGCTCAACGTCATGAGGTCCCCCATGTCCAGCCCCCACAGTATGAGCAGTGTGAGATCACCACCGTCCTGCAGCACTACCTGTAATATCAGGTCGTCTGTCTCAAGCCCTACTGGAGGCAGCTGCACCAGCACTGCCAACAACTGCAACACCGCAAGGCCATCCATGTCCAGTCCGGCTTCAGGGGGCGCCATGGCTGTCGGCAGCCCACAGAACCCCTCCTCTGGTGGGTTCCCTGTGTCCAGTCCTGCTGGAGGACTAAGGTTGGTGCAAAACGACACCAACAGCCCAGATGCAGCTGGTCTGACCAGAGACTCAGACTTCAAGAACTTTGAATTCCCCAAAGTAGAGATGTTAGACGGGGAGGTTTTTAACGTCGGCTTAGACCAGATGGGGATGGTTAAGTACATCAAGAACGAGCCTGGGACTGATTTCAGGAGCATGTGTTTAGGCAGCTCCAAGTGTAATGCGGGTAGCACACCTTTTATCACACAGATTAAGAGTGAGCCCAACATAAATGAGGGATGTATGAACCCCCAGCCCTATGCTGAGCAGTCGCCATCTCTTAGTCTCTATCCTGCATCTGAGACCACCTATTTGTCCCTGAGGAATAACATTGATGAATTCAGTCTTTCTGGTATCTTAGGACCCCCTGTCTCCTCTATGAATGGGAACTATGAGTCCGATGTGTTCTCCAACAATGTCCTGTCTAAAGGGGTTAAGCAGGAGACCACTGATGGCAGCTATTACCAAGAGAATAACAGCATGCCTACATCGGCCATTGTTGGAGTTAATTCCGGTGGACATTCATTCCATTACCAGATTGGAGCGCAAGGAACAATGTCTTTCACGCGGCATGATGTGAGGGACCAATCCAACCCTTTGTTGAATCTAATTTCGCCCGTAACAGCGTTAATGGAGTCGTGGAAATCTCGGCCGGGCATTTCACAAGGGTCACTGTCAGCCAGAGGTGAGGGATACCTGGGTCAGAACTGCATGACGGACAGCATGTCAAGGTAAGGAAAATAAAGACGTCTCTACAGTATGTGGACTAAGTGATTGCTTTTGAAGTGTATCTCTGTAAGGTGTCTCGCTGGAAAACTGTGATGTGTCTAAGTTGTGATAAATATCAAAAATGTTGAGGAAGTTTTTATTTCTTGAAATACGTTTTTTTTTTTGTCAGTATACCTGTATAATAATGTGTCTCTCTCGAGGATGAGATAGATGAAAGGCCAGTTTGTTGTAGTTAGACCCATATTGCACAAGGGATTTAGGGCGTTTGCTTTGAACAGTGCAACAGTAATAACAGCACGGCTTGGGAAAGGCAGCGGGACGCTGGTGGGAGGGAACAGGAATTAAAGGATGGGGTCCAGGTCATTGTTATAGTAGCATGTGATCACAACATCATCCCTCCTAGCAATGCCCTGTGTTCTACTGTTAAACAGAGGCAAAGTTTACCACTTATCAAATGCCCGTTTGTATGTACAACAACAATATTTATTGGTCTGTTATGAGAAGGTCTATCTTAGACCTTGTGTAATGCAAATATCTGTTTTTATGGGACCTAAGCCATTGGCAGCATCATAATTTATCAATGATTGATCACAGGCTTTTGTTGCCAAACTGATAAAATAAACAGTTGCTTTTGCGAGGGTGGGGGCTAAACAAAACAACAAGCCAAAGGGAAAATAACTATAATAAGTCGCAAAGTGCAACTTTGACACAGTTGTTGTGCTTCCAGTGAGTTCTTGTGTCGTAGTTGCATGTGAAGCCGCAGGAAGTAACTTGTCATCAAAACGATTACTAATGGTAAATATGAAAGCCATTATCGAGAACATGAAACAAATGGTATCATTGTTGAAAATACAGAAATATGGATAATCACTACAGTGAGAGGGGCTGATGTTTGCAGAACATCAGAAAAAATCTTTGTGTTCTGGGTGAGATTTTAACAGCATCAAGTGTAAATTGGTGTTCCGATAAACTACAATGCGATTGTGCACTTTTTGCATAGGATGTAACTTATTCACACTCTTTATGAGCATTTGCAAAGAAGCAATAAACAAAGTCGTAAATGACTTCCTGATAACTTGCACAGCATTGATAAGTGTCAGACCCTTGCTGTAAGGGAAGTACAGTATTTAAGCCGCTTCTGGCATGGTCATTGCTCCACTGTGACTTAACCATAACAATTTCAGACTGACTTTGGGCAGTGATGTTGCACAGAATCTCAAAATTGAGAATTATTAGATCAAAAGCCTTCCTGATTGAATTTGTAGAAAGGAACTTTCACAGATCTCACTGATTGTCGTGCTCTTTTCAATTGTCTATTTTCATTTTATTCAGCTGTTGTCATTCAATTGCAGGGAGTAGTTTGAAAAGAGGGACTGGGAAAAAGTCTGTTTATCTGTAATTTCACTGACTATTTATGTACCTAGGTCAACTGGTTCAACGTTGCTGGCAAGAGCAATACAAAACACTTTTGCTGATGATTTATGCATCTATTATACCTTTATTATTCAACAAGTTAGGAAATACATGTTTAACTATAATCTTTTATTTTAACATGTGTGGTCGGATTTAGCCACACTGAAATATCTTATAAAAAAAACAATAAAAGGTGACCAGATCAACCCGTAGGGTCGTTTTGATTCAGAGCTCAGAAAAATATTTGTATTTCCTGTGGCCAACTTGTGTACTAGGCATGTTGTGTGCATGTATGTGTTTCCATTCACACTGCATCCCACCCATAGACCTGACCTGATTATCTTATCTTCAGTGTTATTTATGTCTTCTATGTTTGACATGTTTATCCAGCTTTATATGTACAGCACACGCTCCTCTAGAGAGTAGAGATACTGTGTGTGTGTGTGTGTGTGTGTGTGTGTGTGTGTGTGTGTGTGTGTGTGTGTGTGTGTGTGTGTGTGATAACAAGGCTCGTAGCTCTGAGGAGACTGATACAGCCCGTTACCTTGGAGGCAACCCATATGGCAGGAGCCAAAGCGATGTTGACGGGATCACTGCCACCTTGGTCCTAATGAGATCCAGCTTAGCCCTAATGTCAGACAGGCTGACAGTAAGAGGTGGGCCACATGGCAGGCAGCCAGGCAGGCAAGGAAGCAGGGAGACACAAACACACATATACATCCATCCATACAATTAATATATACACACACACTCACAGACACATATATGTGTTGGGTAGAATGCAAGTGTCCTGTTAGACCAGTAGTATTGTATTGATTGACAGCTATACTTGGCTATAAATATAGGCTTATTGCATCCTGCCTGAAATCTGAAAATGCACTGCAGAAAATTTGTGGCACTCTCGAGCTTCGGACCAACTACATGGTGCCCAGGCCCAATATTTCATAGGCAAACATTTTTACGTAACCATTAAAAAGCACCACTACAATTCTTTGATCCGCCGAAGCCTTGGATGACAGAGTGTAAAATCCCTTGGCTCTTTTTTTTCCACTTTGGTTTCCTCTGTAAATGGTTTTAATTAAAAATGGCTGCTCATCTGAGCAGTCTGGATTACTTTGTGCAAAAACGTTTTAACTCAGATTCACAAGAGAAGAGGAAGGGGAAAAAAACGAGTTGCCTTAACCATAATTGTGTGCTTATGTGACGTTTGATTTAAACGTAATTCTTAAACAAACTCAGTGACCAGAACGGTGTATTTTACGTTGTTAGAGGTTTGGATGCTGAATCTTTTATTGCACAAAAGTTTAATTCCTTGATCTATTCTCTTAAAGAATATTTAAAAAGCTGTGCAGCGTCCATTACTGTATGAAAGTAGTCTGATTTGTATGAAATATGGAAATTATTTTAAATGACCTACATTTGTGTGCTGGATTATGTTTGCTCGCTGCCTAAATCTCCAAATCTCTTTTCACCCGATTTAGGACATTTTAATTCTGGTTTTCACGGCAATTTTTCACCAAATAGAATTAATCTAAAATTTCTCAGCCCCTGACCTAATAATTTTATAATCTGAAAAATGGTAAAGACTCGAAATAGAAGCCGACAATGTATTTCTTCTTTGAAAATAGCTCTCATTATCTTATTTTACCCTTTTCTATAGCCATGGGAATAGAAGCACTTCAATATAGGCTGACATTTTCATTGCTTTAAGCTTGCAGCCAGTAGCTGTAGATCAACAGTGTCCGTCTTGAGGATGCACCAGATTCAAGCGGGGAAAATGCTTTGCACTGGACTCCGGCCAACGCTCAATGTTCTGCAGAGGGATGAAAAGGCATACTCCTGAGAGCACACTAATAAGGCTTTAATTGTATGTTCCTCCACTAAATTAATGGATGGAAATGATTTGATTAATTCAGACACTGCTGGATACTAATATCCAATTAAATACCAACACCAGGCATGCACAGGGGCTCCCAGTGCATTATGGGTTCCTGACTATAAAGCAGGCAGATGGTTGCTTGGGTTGTGAAAAGGATTTTAGAGGTGAAGGTGATGGAGAATGGCTTAGACGTTGTCTTATAGACTAGTGAATGCACATATATTAATTACGTGCATTCTCATGTGTACTGTCTGAATGTTGAATTATTCATTTAATAACTCCTGTAAATCAATCAGATACATTGTATCTTAAGCAAATATGAAATTCACTTTGAGTAACAGTTCATGTAGTTTTCTTCATACAGTTTTCATCTCACATTTTCTTTTCATTTTGTCCTTGGTTCAATGACATTAAATGAATGCCAGGTAGCTTTAAGCTTCTTTTACTAACTCTTACTTGAGTGTGTAGAAACTTTTTATGATGTCTCAAGTAGGGCTGCACGACTTGGGGAAATAATCTAATTGCTATTTTTCTGACAGATATTGCGATTCAATTTGCGATATTTGTTTTTAAGCGACCCAACGAAAGTTTATTGTAAAATGCGGCCATATCTCCGACTAGGAAGGTCGTATTAACGTGCTCCCGTCTCTAGCACCCCCGCAGCCCGAGCTACGAGTGAAAGAACTAAACGTACATGAAACTTCCGTTGGGTTGCTTTAAAGTCAAGCTTCAGTTTCAGACTCACCCTGTAATGGATGTAACACATGTGATGGAGCATTACTAACCTGACTCAGATGGTTTGTTTCACCAAACCATCTAGGAAAGCTCCATTGGAAGCCATTTGGAAAAGGCAGGCACTTTCAAAAATACTTGGCAGGTGATTGGATCAATCTGTTTATCACCTTCTATCATGGGCCACTTCTGATTGGTTAACAATGGCTGGTACATGTGGAGCACAGCACTTCTGATTGGTGTGGATGACTGACACACAAGAAGAAAAAAAAAGTTTAAAAAAAAAAAAACGTTAAAAATTTTTTTGAAAGAAAATTGCAGGCTTTGCGATTTGATAATCGCATCATTTCAAATCGCAATTTCTATTTAAAATCGATGAATCGTTCAGCCCTAGTCTCAAGTGCAGACCTGACAACCATTGAGTCATTTTATGCACTCTTAAGCAAGCTACTGTATAAGTGTTTAAAGGCTAATGGTTCAACAGAAGAGTGACAAACATAATGAATATAGGTCTTTCTTTACTGAGTGTATGTTACTTCTATTGTAGCTGCGTGTAAAGATACACAAATAATGCAGCGTGGACCGCGGGAACTATCGTCATTAAATGAATGTGGTTCTTTGGGTCTTTGAAGTGTAACTTTGTCTCAAAAGAAGAGACAAGTATATTCATTTCATTTTCTTCACTTATAAATTATGTTCACGAAAGTGGTTTGAGAGGCCGTTGGGTGAAAAGGCCATGTTCTTCCGTTTGATTAAAATCTAGAAAGATAATTGACAGCTCACTCAAGGATGCTGGGAGTAGTTGACCTCAGGCAACAGTTATATTTAACTAACAAATAAATAAGATATTATACATAGTACAGCACTCATTACAAATACAACTGCAATAGTTGAGGAAAAAATATCAATTACGATACTAGTGAAGACTAAACTTTACTCATACATATTATAACAATGTTGAGATTCATCAGTTTAACA